CCCATACACACACACACTGCCCCCATACACTGCCGCCCCATACACACACATTGCCCACACTCACACACATACTGTCCCTGACATACACTGCCGCCCTCACTCACACACTATAACCTTCAAACACACACTGCTCACACACTGTCCCCCTCACACACACTGCACCCCTTACACATTGCACCACTCACACACACCACTGCTCCAATGCCCTACTACAGCCCCATTTCCCAACAGACCTCAGGTAAGTTGTCAAACTGTTCTTAAACGGTTTGACTACTTACTCTGGGAGGGGGTCCTGGCACTATTGGCACCATAACCACTACACTGAGCTGCAGTGGTTATTGTGTCTGGATTATTTCTTTAAATAATCTACAAGTGCCCCTCCCGAGATCAGGCTCTGGATCCGACACTGCTCAGCAGTCTGTGTGTGTGTGTGTATGTATTTACTCAGCAGTCTGTGAGTGTGTATGGACTCGGCAGTCTGTGTGCATGGACTCAGCAGTCTGTGTGTGTGTGTGTGTATATATGTGTGTATGGACATAGCAGTCTGTGTGTGTGTGGGTGTGCATGGACTCAGCAGTGTGTGTGTGTGTGTGTGTATGGACTCAGCAGTCTGTGTGTGTGTGCATGGACTCAGCAGTCTGTGTGTCTGTGTGCATGGACTCAGCAGTCTGTGTGTGTGCATGGACTCAGCAGAGTCTGTGTGTGTGCATGGACTCAGCAGAGTCTGTGTGTGTGTACGGACTCAGCATAGTCTGTGTGTGTGTGTACGGACTCAGCAGAGTCTGTGTGTGTGTGGACTCAGCATTCTGTGTGTGTGTGTGTGTGTGTGTGGACTCAGCAGTCTGTGTGTGTGTGTATGGACTCAGCAGTCTGTGTGTGTGGACTCAGCAGTCTGTGTGTGGACTCAGCAGTCTGTGTGTGTGTGTGTGTGTATGGACTCAGCAGTCTATCAATAATTAAAATTCCTGTGAGTTGTTGTGTAGGAAGAGCCCCAGTGCATTGCTTTGCCCAGGGGCCCTTAACTCTGTTAAAATGGTACTGCTTGTGTGTGTCAGTGAGCTTCTATTTAGTGAGCTTGTGTGTGTCAGTGAGCTTGTCTTTAGTGAGCTTGTGTGTGTCCCTGAACTTCTTTGTAGTGAGCCTTCTGTTTATACAAGTGAGTGTCTGTAGTAAGCTTGTGTGTGAGTCAGAGAGTTTTGTCTGTCAGTAAGCCTATTTGCGCATGTCAGTGAGCTTGTGTGCTTACTGTACTATATATATATATATATATATATATATATATATATATATATATATATATATATATATATATATATATATATATATATATATATATATATTGACTTGTAGGAATGGCATACGTTTTTTTTCCAGGGCTGCTTTGGATTCCCAGGGATTCCCAGTTTGGCTCTGCCAGCGAGTGCACTTTACCGCTGAATAATCTGTGTGAGTTGCCGCACACTTTAGCCCTGTTACACGCGTCTGGGAGCTGCTGTTGACAGGTACTAGTAGTCTAGAGATTGGGGTATATGCTCAGCTAGCTGTATAATATAGATCTGTGTGTATAAAATATCCCGGGATAGTTAATGCTTCCTGTATAGTGCTGCTCTCTGTCTTGGGATATTATACACAAACAGACCTGTATTATACAGAGAGCAGCACTATACAGGGAGCACTGAGTGTCCCAATTTATTATACACACAACCCTGTATTATACAGAGAGCACTGACTGTCCAGGGATATTATACCCAGACAGTAATTGATAACTGTGCTGCAAAATGTCCTTGGAAATTTTTTTTCAAATGTTGGCAACTATGGCACTGTATCAAGGGTAATGTGTTTGTTTTTTTAATAATCCCTGGTGGAAAATAATGAATCCTCCACCAGGTATTATTAAAAAAACAAAACACATTGTGTCGGGGCGGGGCTTAACATGCGACAGGGGCGGGGTCAAACTGTGACGAGGGCGGGGTTAAATGTGCCCCCCTACTTTTGTCACTGGCCCTCCATGTGCCCCCCCCGAAAAATGAATCCTAGAGACGCCACTGCCTATGGTAGTTTATAAGCTTGTATTACTCATCTTTTTCAAGAGCTTGGGTGTTTATTTCTGATATGTGAAGGATTTTAAGGGAGTAATAAATCTGTTGTGCTGTATGTATAGCTGCTATTTGCACAAGCTTCCCTAGCACCATTGCTGACATCCTGGGCCCTGCTTACCTTTTCACATTTGGTAGCTTGTTGCTATATTGGGTACAACTGTCAGGGATATTTTCCCTTGGGAAATTATTGTGTATAATCATAGATTTGTGTTGTAAGTCATTTCTAGTACCATTATTTATCTTAGTTATCAATAAAGGTTTTTTTTTTTTTAATGTACTGTTTTTCCCTCATGAGGAGATCCTTTCTTTGTTTTTTTGAGTGCCCAGAAGTTAGATCATCAGATGTTTTAACAAAAATAATAAAAATAATAATAGGTCGCGCTACAAGGAATATAAATGAAAATAAATGAATATAATGTACTCACATACACTAAAAACGTGAATAAAACGAGTGTATAAATAATAGTCCCAATACTTGGTAGACTTCTTATAGGTTCCAATAGGTATGTGGAGACTTTGATGGATAATATATCCAATAGGAAACTGGGTCCTCTAGTCTTGGAGAAATCTTGACTCGATGATGAACATAGAAATAAGCAAACAGAGACAATCCAATAGTGCAGACTGTATACTGATAAGTAGAAATTGGATAGAAAATAGGGAGGTAATTCACTCACCTGTTCAAGAGCATAAACTAGCTCAAGTAAAATTGGCATTCAGTGGCATCTGTCCCCCACTGGTGGGATATGGGTGATGATAATTCCTCGGTATGGAAAAGAGATAAGAGCCAAATATAGTGCTCACTGTATGTATGATTAAGATAAATTTAAAATGAAGAAATAAAAGTACTCACATTTGGATGAGCAGGGTATACTGCTCAATATAATCACGTAGGTGGTACTATCCCCACCTAGGATTCTTGGGCAGGTGTAGACTCCAAGGTAATATATGACCAGGTAAAAAGAAAAATATAAAATATGAAATAAAAAGGTATATGGCAAATGTATAGTAAAAAAGCCAATATTCCTTTATTAATACAGTATAAAATATAAAACTTAGCCAAAACGCGTTTCGCCACACAGGGCTTTATCAACTGGCAATAGTAAAAATCAGCCTGGTACATGGATGCTTATATAAACTTAATGAAAACATGATTATTCAAATTTTGGCGCCAAAATGACGTCATCAGTATAGTGTATAAAATACAAACGTAGTTCAAAACATAAATGTAGAAAAAGCAAATGTTGATGGGACAGAATACTATTTAAACCTTTATTTAAAACTTTAAAATGAGTATCTTTAATAAAAATAATCAAAAGATAAGAGGGGGATTCGTGATCTAACGCGATCACATGGTTTGCCCTGGTGCCCATTGGGAGATGTAGTGAATGTTGAAGAGTCCAAAAAAGCCGGAAGAGGAGAAGGAGGTTGTAGTCACGTGATCGCGATCTTCCGCGATCACGTGACATGCCGCAGTGGCCATTGGGAAATATAGTATTCAGACGGAGGTCGGCATCAAAAGGCACGCCTCCGTCTAACGTCAGCAAGTTGGGCGGCGTGTTAATCCGAGTTCACATGCCGCCCTCTTACTGCAGGTTTAGGGCATAAAGCCAAATATGGGCAGTGTAAAAAACGGCATTGGACTGTGAATGCAGGAGATAACAGCTTTATTATAAGGGAAAAGCCTCCTTTCCCCAAATAAAGAAATATACAGAAGGGCAAAATAGAGCAGTTAATATAAAATGTAAAAATAGAACAGTTAGTATAAAATGTAATGTGTAAATAAGAATGTATAAAATGAGAATAAAAATGGATATTAAAATAAGAATAAGATGAGAATACAAATAAAAATAAATGTGAAATAAAATAAAATAAAAAATGAAAATAAGAATGAATATAGAAAAAAAAAATAATAATTAAATTAATATATGTTTTAAAACTAGATAAGTATTGGAGGGTGAAAAGAATTTTTTTTTAGATAAAGATTCTTATCAATTAGAAATCAGTGTAAAGGGAATTTATAAAAAGTTAAAAAGATCAAATTCAGCATTTAGTCCTTCAGGGTAAAGAGTTTTCAGTTGAAAAACCCAATACATTTCCCTTTTTCCTAAGATTTTTGTCATATCTCTGCCTCACCATGGGAGAGTAACCTGTTCTATCCCAGTAACTTTTAAAAGTGTCGGATCTTTATTATGTGTTATAAAGTGTTTTGAGACTGCATGGTTATCATAGCCTCTTCTGATATTACGGCAGTGTTCTGCCAGTCTTACTTTAAGACATCTTTTAGTCATGCCCATGTACTGAAGTCCACATGGGCATTCCAATAGGTATATGACGTTTCTAGTATTACAGCCTATGAAATCTTTAATTGGATAGGAAGCTTTGGTAATAGTAGAGGAGAAATGAGTGATCTTGGAATTTGTCGTTCCTTTTGTGGTTCTACACACAATACATTTATTGCACTTAAAAAAGCCTTTTGGCCTGGATAAAAAGTTTTTTCTTTGTTGTACATTATTTTTTGTGTAATTTTTAGTAAGAATTGTTCTAAAGTTAGGGGCCCCTCTAAATACAACATTGGGTCTATCTGGAATATGGTCTTTTAAAAGGTCATCCTGTTTAGCTCACATTAGAACATACAGCGCTGATCCTTTATCTACCTTTATCAGATGTTTTAAAACTACAGCTTCCATGATATAAACACAAAAAATATAGTGGAGCACTTATTTAGTGATCAGGTGAATAAAATAGTTTTTTTTCACATTATATCTTATTAGTGTAATACCCATATATTTCAAATCTCACAATATCCTTAAAATTGGAAAAATGAAACTAGATAGTGTAAAACCATTTTACAAATATTTTGTGTAATGAAGACAAAGGAACACACATATGTATGAGCTATTGCACATAGCTCTGGTATTATTTGCAGTAGGGTCCGTAAAGGTGGTCCTTCCCCCATCTTGGTGGCTTCATGAATGGTCCTACAGACTCCAAAGGGATATATGCATAGAGTAGTATTGTAATATACCCTCCATATTGACGTGTGGGATAATTGGGGGTCAAACATGGGCACGCCCCACTGTTCTGGTAGTGCACGCTGCTCCAAGCCTCCTTTTCATTATCTTACATTTCGAAAGTTCCAGAACTGACGACACAAACCCCACTCTACATTGGAAAATGACGCATTCCAAAGTTACCACTGCAACGCTTCCGAATCTCATGAGAGTGAATCCCCTAGCCTGAGCTCCTCTCCCAGGCCACAGGTAAGGAGGAGGGGATATACAATATATTTATTTAATAATAATGATTAAAAGTTATTTGCTTTGATCTGCTTCCCTCCCCACCACACACACAGTCACAAACTGCCCCCCATACACACATAAACTGCCCCTTCACCCAAACACTGCCACTCACACACACTGCACCCTCCATACACACATACTGCACCCCACAAACACTGCCCCTATACACACATTTCCCCACACACATAAAACGTCCCCTTACAAAAACACTGCCCCTCATACACACTGCCCCCATACACACATACTGCACCCTCACACAAACACTGCCCCTCATACACACATACTGCACCCTCACCCAAACACTGCCCCTCACACACACACACTGCACTCTCATACACACATACTGCACCCCTCACACAAACACTGCCCCCATACACACATTCCCCACACACACATAAACTGCCCCCCCACACAAACACTGCCCCTCATACACACACACTGCACCCCCATGCACAAATACTGCACCCTTCACACAAACACTGCCCCCCCATACACATATTTCCCCACACACACATAAACTGCCCCCTCACACAAACACTGCCCCTCGTACACACATTGCCCCACACACACAAACACTGCCCCAAATACACACATTGCCCCACACACACATGAACTGCCCCCTCACACAAACACTACCCCTCATTCACACATACTGCACCCCTCACACAAACACTGTCCCTCATACACACACTGCCCCCAATACACACATTGCCACACACACACATAAACTGCCTCCCATACACACATACTGCACCCCTCACAAAAACACTGCCCCTCATACACACACACTGCCACCCATACACACATACTGCACTCCTCACACACTCACACTGCAACAGTCACACTGCACCCTTCACACACATTGCACCACTCACACACACACCACTGCTCCTATGCACGACTACAGCCCCAGATCCCAGGTAAGTTGTCAAACACTACACCCCCCACTGCCCCTCTACACACATTGCCCCCCTCACACACATACACTGCAAGCCTCACACACACATTATTTGTACTTTTAAGATGATTATCCTTAAAATGCTGGTAGCATTGGAGGGCAGGAGGTACTGTGTAATTTTAAGTGCTATACGCTTTTTAATATTTTTGCAATTAAGAACTATGAATTTAAAAAAACAAAAAAAAACAAACAACTACTTTTACTGTTAATGTGCCTGATATGTTTTTGTGTCCTTGAATATTAATCTACACATAGAACTGCTATTTTGTCATTGGTATAAATACTAGCTCCACAAAATTATGCTTTACTTTTCTTAATTTTTAATAAGGAATGACATTCACCAATAAAGATAGGAGATCAACATTATGGTGCCAGGGCAACTACCCCTCCCTCATGAATTGTAGATCAAAATAAAAAATATCTGGGCACACGTTGATTGCCATTCTAGGAAACTAATGCAGTGATCTGAGGAGTTTATTCCTCTCATCACACAAACCACAGACTTTATTGAAGTTCAATAGGCAATGTTTCGGCTAACACAGGAACCTCTATCAAGCCACACTGGTTTGAGAGAGGTTCCTGTGTCAGTGTCCTGTATCCTGTATCTTGGCATCTTGGCACATTTTTAGTGCTCATTAGTTAAGTGGTTGACTTGTGTCTATCTCAGATTTTGATACATAATACAGATTAAGGAACAGTGCGCACATGAAAATGATTTTTTTTTATCTTTTATGGCTACCTTTTTGATTTTACTATCTCAGATTTTCAGCTTGATTACTAGATGTCGGTGTTGCCGTTTGTAGCGAACCACAGGTTAATTCTTCCCTCAGTCACTCTGGAACCACTTAAAGTATAGAGACACCCATTTCCCCAGTAACACATCTCTGGGAGTACAACACAATTTTCATTGTACCACACACTGCTGTTATGCATAACCCCTTGCAAGGGGTCGTCCACACAAACAGACAGGGGTTTCCATCCCAGAATCCTCTGTGCCTGTGATCCAAGGTGCGGGAAGAGGGATCTAGCTTCTTTGTATCCCAGGCCCAGAAGCCCGCCACACATGCCAGGGATCTTCCACACAAAACAACAGGGGTCTTAAGCCCAGGATCCACTGTGCCTGGGAGCCAAGGTGTGGGATAAGGGATCTAGTCTCTTTGTCTCCCAGGTACAGAAAGCCCGCCAAAATATCCAGTGCTCCAAAAGCATCCCCACCAACCTTAGGAACCCCCACAAAAGTACATTTCTCCGACCGTCCCACCATGCAAGGGAAGCGTCTCCTTTCGGGATAAAAATGCTCCCCCTGGTTGGCATTTATCTATACGAAATGGCAGCCAGCCAGGGAAGAACTCATTAATTACTTCCCTTGAGGTTTTGCACTTATGTTATTGGTGTGAACGTTCTAAGTAATTGGTGTGAACATTCTAATGGGGCAATGGGGTGGTCCCCATTCGGATGACGAATGAGTTCTATTCGTATGGACGCTCCCGAACTGGGAAACAGGACACAATACATGAAATACACAATACAAATGGAAACACACAATACAAATGGAAAACACTTTATATCCTAAAAATATGGGCCTGCTTTTAGACATCAATACATCAACACAACATTTTTACATTTATGCTATAAATAAATCAGATTTTAGAGATAGTTGCCACTTCCTTCTGAATATGTTGGGGGAAA